GTGTGGCACATGGTGGCTCGGGTGGCTGTGGCTGTGGCTGGGAGGAGGTGGCGATGTCTGCGGCCTCCTGCCCTCCCTGAGCAGCATTTATACCCGGGTCCCAGCAGTCCCGCCAACCCGGAGAACACTGTTGTCTTCCTGCTTGGCTACCGCTGGCTTGTCCCTGGCATTTGTTCCTGCTGTGTGCTCTTCTGTTTTTGTTTTGCCCCAGCTACATAGCTAATTGCACCCTTTCCATGTGTCTGGTGCATGTAGAAACCTGTCTCAGCACTTCCTTACCTCTATCTGGATTCTGCCTTGCTCCATCATACTTCCTGAGTTACTTTTGTGAGATTCTAAACTCCAAGATCTTGATGCCAGATTTCCCTCTGGCTGGGATGGTGCTCTTCAAACACCATCAAGCTGACCCTTGAACTTCAAACACCATCAAGCTGACCCTTGATCCTTCCTCAGGAAGGATCTGCAGAAGCCAGGAGGCCGAACAGAGGGAAGGAGCTGTTTTGGAGGTTCTGGGAGGTCAGTGCAGTCACACAGGAGGAAGGGCATGGAGGCTGTCTTTGCCAGGTCCAGGAGGATGAAGACTGTGCCCCACCAGAAAACAACTTCCAACCCAGCCCAATATGGCCTCCACAACTCTCTCTTAAAGTTGGTGGTAGAAAAGAGTGTTCCAAGATGTTCCATGACAAAGGACATCTTGAGAAATTCATAAACAACAAGCTACACTACAAAGCACACTCAAGAATATCCCAGACAGAGACAACAAAGCCAAGACAGCCAAAAATTTGTATGTGATGAAGAGGTCAAACAAGGTGAGTAGTTACAAATAAGAGGAAAATAAAGGAGTCCACAATAGTAAAAGAATGTGGTGGCAGAGAAGTCAACCCATTTCAGCAATAACTCTGAATGTAAATGGCCTCAACTCCCCAGTTAAAAGACACAGATTGGCAGACTGGGTCAAAAAACAAAGCCCAACGGTATGTAGCATTCAAGAGACTCATCTAATACAAAAAGAAATCTATAGGTTGCAGTGGATTGATATCTGGTGCTCAACTTATAACCCCCAGCTGAACTGACTAAGGGTGGTGCTGGGTGTGGGAGGCCCACCTGGGGACTGTTGTCAGTAGCATAAGAGGCAGACCTGGAGAAAAAGAAGAAGAAAGCTTTTGGGAACTAAAGAGGCTGTTGGGGGCAGAGAAAGGCTGTTGGAGCTGGCGGAAGCTGCAAGGAGCTGTTGGTTCTTGGAGGAGCTCGTCATGCTGGCTTTCCTGATGAACTGTTTTCATCCTCGGAGGAGCTTGGGACCTTGTTGGCACTGAGAATGGCTTTGGTTCACTTTGGGGGAGCTCTGGTCCTCACTCTGAGCATTGCTTCCTGGCTCTGGAAGGGAAGATGGTGCACTGCTGGTCTCCTAGAGAAGCTTGCTGTGTTGGCTTCCGTGATAGGAACTTGGCCATCTTGATCATCAGAGGAGCTCAGAACCTCACTGTTGCTGAGCCTGGCTGTGGTACCTTTTGGGGGAGCTCTGGTTCTTCTGAGCGTCACTTCCTGGCTCCAGTGTAGATCCCTCAGCCTGCTAGCACAGGTCCTTCATCCTGCTGGCACAGACTTCCTAGATTCCACCACTGACCTTTGGGCCTTCACAGTGCAGATCCGTGAAACAGGCCTGCATGAGACATTGTTATGGGCTCTGGGTCTCCAGTTGGATTGGTGGGAGGCATTGTTATGGGCTGTAGGTATTCAGCTGGACTCCTACAGGGAATTATCCTGGGATCCAGGCCCTTGGCTAGATTCCTTGGTCTCTAGTTTGTGGGCAGATTTCCTGCACTCTTTTGTATATCGTTCTTTGGGTGACTATTACAAATAATCCTATAAAATATGTGTCCTGTATTATATATTGTTCCCCCTTGCAAAAATATCCTCCAAACCAACCCATAGACTGAAAGATCAAGGAAGGAAATCTATATTCCATGAACCAGGTCCCCAAAGCGAGAAGTGGTAATCATTTTATTCTCAGCCAAAAAAAACCTTTAAGAAAATACTAAGCAGAAGAGGCAAAGGAGGTCACTACCTCCTAGGGGAACCAATCAATGGGAAGAGATAATCATTGAAAGTACATGTGCACCAAGTACTGGTGCACCAACGCCATAAAAACAAACCATAGACTAAATAAACATCAATACAACCATCGGGGGTGAGCTCAATACCCCACTTTCACAAGCAGATCAACTAAATAAAAAGTTAATGAACTTTCAGAGCTGAGGTACACCTTTGAACAGAGGGACTCTATGGAAATGTACAATGTGCTCGATCTACTACCCAGAATGCACTTCCTTCTCAACAGCACAGGGAACTTCCTCCAAAACAGACCACACACAAATCCCTAGAGCCTCCAACGTTGCTGGCCACTAGAAAATGCAAATTCAAACAGCACTAAGAGTCTATCTTCTATTCCAGAAAGAAGGGCTGTCATCAAGAAGACACATGGTAACAAATGTTGTGGGGCTGCAGGGAAAAGGGACCCTTTCTCCATTGTTGGTGGGAATATACATTATGACAATCACTATGGAAACCAGCATAGAGATTGCTCAACAAACTAAAACAGGAAATTCTATTTGAACCGGCCATTCCACTTCCAGGTATCTTCCCCATAGAATGAAAAACATCGTATTACAGTGATAGAATCATACTCATGTACAGCAGCACAATTCATAGCTAAATCATGGAACCAACCCGTAAATAGGTAAAGGAAAACATGGCATTTATACACAGTGGAGTACTACTCTGACATAAAGAAGGATAAATTTGAGTCATTTGTAGGAAACTGGATGCACCTTGGAAGCCATAATGTTAAGTAGATAAATCAGACACACATACGCAAATATTGCATGATTTCTCTTATATGAAAAACACAAAGTATCCATCAATGAAAGAGCAAAATAAAAGATACATAGTAGGCAGATGGATCTTTTGCAAGTGGAAAGAGGAGCAAAAGATGGAGGGAGAGGGCAGACAGGAAGTGGGAAGGGAGGTAAAGAGAATTCAGATGTGCTCTGTGCAGGGACCAGTCCCCAGGAGGAATGTGATCATCAGGTGGCACACACATAGGAATAAGAAGAGGCTGTGGGTCCTGGGCAGGCTGGGGGTCTTTTCCCAGGACCCAAGAAGCCAGCCAGGCTTAAGCCTGGTTTAAGTGCTGAGAGCTGTGGTTGTCCTCACACTACTGCGTCCCAGTGCAGTACCAGTGCAGGGCCATCGTGCTTCTCAGTCCTGGGAACTCCCTTCTTGGCTCCGTCTCTCCTTCATGCACACAGCCTTTCATGTACGCTCACGCCTTCCCACATGGGCACGCAGGCCTGCCTGGGTCACACAGCCAGCGTGACCCTGCACGACTCCTGATTTTGACTTTAAAACTTGTTTCAAATCTGCAGGAGACCAGAGCACAAGCCCAGCCTGTTGGGAAATTGTGTCTCCAAAGCTGCAACACTGATCTGCCTTATAATCACATTTATGCTTCAGCTTCTTTTAAGGGGCATCTTTAGTTTGACCTGAGATATTTCATCATTATCAACACAGAAGGCGAGGAAACATGGATATAAAAGAAAAGGACAGAAATACAGATTTCACAGAGAGAACGTATTTATTGGGCTCCCATGGGACCATGGGGTCAGAACAGCTGTCCTGAGTGGACAGTGAGGGGAGGCTCTAAACCCTTCTGCTGGGTTCTAGACCAGAGTCCAGGCGTCCCACCTGCTCCACTGCTGAGCATGGGCCCTAGAGGTGCGGTGCGGCTGTCCCCTGTCCCGCACAGCTGGCATGGAGCCGGGAGGTCAGCAGCAGGAGGAGGTGCAGCAGGAGGAGGTGCCGCAGGAGACAGGGTTGCAGAGGAGGGCGGGGCACGAGGGCTGGCAGCAGCCTGAGGACTGGCAGGAGGGGACCACGCACATGGCAGGCCTGCAGCTCACGGGGAGGCACACGGACGCCTGGCAGGAGGGCTGGCAGCAGCCCGAAGACTGGCAGGAGGGGAGCACGCACACGGCAGGCCTGCAGCTCACGGGGAGGCACACGGATGCCTGGCAGGAGGGCTGGCAGCAGCCCGAGGACTGGCAGGATGGAGTCACGCACAGGACAGGCCTGCAGCTCACAGGCACGCAGCAGGCAGCCTGGCAGGGGCTGGACACGCAGCAGGACGGCTGGCAGCACGAGGAGCAGCTGGTGTGGCACATGTTGGCTTGGGTGGCTGTGGCTGTGGCTGTGGCTGGGAGGAGGTGGCGATGTCTGTGGCCTTCTGCCCTCCCTGAGCAGCATTTATACCCGGGTCCCAGCAGTCCCGCCAACCCGGAGAACACTGCTGTCTTCCTGCTTGGCTACCGCTGGCTTGTCCCTGGCCTTTGTTCCTGGTGTGTGCTCCTCTGTTTTTGTTTGGCCCAGCTACATGGCTAATTGCACCCTTTCCATGTGTCTGGTGAATGTAGAAACCTGTCTCAGCACTTCCTTACCTCTATCTGGATCCTGCCTGGCTCATCGTCTTTCTTATGCTACTTTGTGAGAGCCCCAAATCCCAAGATGTCAGATTTTCCTGCACAGAGGGCCCTCACCCTGGGTTTCCAGAAGTTCAGTCAGACAGACAGGAGGAAGGTAGGGATGCGGCCTATGCCAGGTCAGGGGGTGGGGGCTGGGGCTGTAGAACACCCACCACCTGTTCTCCTGCAGGCCTGGTGAGGAGTGAGATGGCCCCCGCCACACCTCCTGCGTGGAGATACAGCTCCAAGCCTGTCCCAGGGCACTGTGGGCACCCCATGGACATCGCAGGGCCGCAGCAGTAAGCCAGGCGGCTTGGGAAGGATCCCAAGGTTGGCTGCCTTTGGATGTGTTCTGCAGTGGCCAGGAGCACCAGGAAGGCCAGTGGCAGGCCAGTGCCCCCAGGTGTCCATACCAGCTTGTGCTGCCTTGGTGGGCGTGGCCACCATTCCCTGGCACAGGAAACACTTCTGCAAGGAGGTCTGCCCGTGCCATTGTGATGGGGTCAGGTGCCGCAGACCACTGTTCTCAGCACCCGGTGCAGCCCTCGTGGTGTGCATCCCACAGCACTGTGTCCCCACCCAATGTCTACCCTTTGTTACAATGTCCTTACAGAATGTGCCCCACCCTGCAGAAGCCGGTGCCTGGCCTAGAGTGCACGCCTGTCTTTGCCTCCAGTGGTGCATTAGTGACCATTCCCTGGCTACTCACAAGCCTACACGTGTTCCCCAGGGCCATGGACAGATCTGTGGGCTCTGCTGCACAACTCTGTGGTTATTGTGGAAGCTCCTGCAGACAGCAGATGCAGGACCTCCAACAGCTTCCTCAGCAATTCAGGACGGCTGGGGCCGAGCCTCAGTCAGGCCACCAAGCCACCATGGTGACCGCCCAGGCTACTTGAAACCAGGGTCCAGGAGCACCCAGGGCAGGTGTGGTTACAGACGTGGCCAGAGGGCTAAGGCCCATGTGGCCCTGCCCTAAACACAACCTCATGTGAGGCGTGTAGGGTGTGAGTGGGCAGAAGAGCAGCCTGGGCCACACACATGCACCCAGACCCCATGGAGCGTCCGGGCCACACGGAGCATCCGGGCCACATGGCTCTGATCACAGCATGGCTGACCCGGCCCAGATTCACCACCTTCCCCTTGGTGCAGGAACCTAATGGCAAATGCAAAATAAAGTCAATGGGTCCAGGGACAGACACCACGGAGAGTCTTGGGGAGCGCGAATCCTACACCACCCACCCTCAGCCTCCCCAGAGTGAGCTGAGAGCCCCCACCCTGCTCAGCGGCACTGCTCACTGCCTCATCCCTGCCCAAGCGGCACCTGGGAGTTTACTAGGAGGGTGGCTTCTCCAGGAAAACAGGCCAGCTGTAATCGGAATGCGCGGAAGCAGGCCCAGGACAACACCAAGGGTGATGCTCAAGAAGCCTCTTGCAGGAAGAACACACAACACACAGGGGAAGTATAAAAGGCCTGCAACCCTGTGCCTCATACACACACATACACACACACACACACACACACGCACACTCACACACTCACACACTTACTCACACCTCCCCCAGCCCAACCCTCCATGGCCGCCTCCACCATGTCCGTCTGCTCCAGCGCTTGCACCGAGCCCTGGCAGGTGGACGACTGCCCAGAGAGCTGCTGCGAGCCCCCCTGCTGTGAGCCCAGCTGCTGCCAGCCCAGCTGCTGCCAGCCCAGCTGCTGCACCTCAGCCCCCTGCCTGAGCCTCATCTGCACCCCATGCTGCCAGTCAGGCTGCACCAGCTCCTGCACGCCCACGTGCTGCCAGCAGTCCAGCTGCCAGCCGGCTTGCTGCTCCTCCTCCTGCCAGCCTTCCTGCTGTGTGTCTGCCTGCTGCGCACCCGCCTGCTCCGGTGCCTACTTCTCCTGCTGCCAGCAGTCTAGCTGCCAGCAAGCTTGCTGCTCCTCATCCTGCCAGCCGTCTTGCTGTGTGCCCGCCTGCTGCACACCTGTCTGCTGCACACCCGTCTGCTGCACACCTGTCTGCTCAGGCACCTCCTCCTCCTGCCAGCCCTCCTGCTGTGTGCCTGCCTGCTGCACACCTGTCTGCTGCAAGCCTGTCTGCTCAGGCACCTCTTCCTGCTTCCGGCAGTCTAGCTGCCAGCCTGCTTGCTGTTCCTGCTCCCCCTGCCAGCCATCCTGCTACATGCCCATCTGCTGCTCACCCTCCTGCTCCTCCGTGTCCCTGCTCTGCCGCCCCGTGTGCAGACCCTCCTGCTGTGTGCCCGCCTCCTCCTGCTGCACCTCCTCCTGCCAGCCCAGCTGCTGCCGCGTGGCCTCCTCCACGTCCCTGCTCTGCCGCCCCGCCTGCTCCCGCCAGGCTGGCTGTGGGCTGTCCTTGGGTCAGAAGTCCTGCTGCTGACTGGATCCCCCTACTCCCAGCCCTGCAGGCTCAAGTCTGACCTCAGGGCTCCCTCTGCTTGCGTCTTGGCTTCCTCAGCTGCTGTCTCCCAGTAAAGGCCCAGAAAGAGGAGACCCTGCTGCCTAAGGGGCTCTGGCTACCCCACAAGAGGCTTGTATCTGCCCTCTGCCCCCTCCCAGAACCCAAGTCCCCTGCTGGACATGGTTCTCTAGGCTGAGCCTCAGTGGGCCCTTTGCTCTGGGGCTGCCTCAGCTGCTCTGGCTTTGAGCCCTGCAGAGAAGCTAATAAAGTTCCCTCCTGCAACTCTGCTGCCTCTGTCGTCCTTCTGCTCATTTCTAGTTGAACTGCTGCCACTGGACTTGGTGCCAGGTGCAGCCTCCACCCACCAGCCCCTCATCCGCACTGCACAGCCATGTGCTGAGGGCACATGCTGGTGTCCTCCTGGGAAGGACGGAGGGCATTGGAGGGAGCCCCTCTCCAGGAGTGGCACCCAGCCCGGTCTTTCCTGGAAGGGTGGGGCTGTCGGAGCAGGAGGGCAGTGCCTGAGCACCAGGCACCCTCTCCCCTGCACCCAGCCCTGCCCTGGCTGACTCAGCTGCCCTACTCCCAGGCCTCACTTCCCGATGTGGCCACGGCCCTCCTTGTCCGCCTGTAGCGTCCCAGGCACAGAATCATCCCTAGAGCCACACTCCTCCCGAGGGTGCCCCTGGATCTATGCAGCCGCACGCACCCCAGGAGTGGCTGCTTTTCAGCCCTGCTCTCCCCTCCCCTGCACCACCTCACCCACCCCACCTGCCTGGTGCTTCCCAGCACACCTGACAGCTTTCCAGGTCCTCGTGTACCCATCCCTCACCGGCCAACTGGTCCTGCCCTGCTGGGCCCTGTGACTGACCTTCTTGAACGCCCAACATGGTGGGAAGGGGTCCCCTCCTCATGTGCCCAGCCCCAGCCCTTGCTAGGCTTGGGGACCTTCTCTGTGGACCCCAGCCTTGGATCCCAGGCCTGGATGCTGATCAGAGCCTGGATTACCTCTCCCTCTAATCTGCCCATGGTCAAGGCTCGCAGGGCACCACCTCCTCACTGCCACACATACTGCCGGCGTCACCACACTGGCATCCTGCGGGTGCCTCACCACTGTCACCCCTTGTCAGGGGGAGTCCAGCCTTTGTGTGCGAGAAGGGTCTGGATGGTGGCTGCAGTGGCTTAGGAAGACAGAGAAGTAGCCATGTGGTCCCATGGACCCCAATCTTCTGATAGCTGGTTCCTAGGACATGTGCACCTCAAGAGTTCCTTTGCCACCAGGGTCCCCAAGACAGAGAGAAGTTCTCATACAGGGCCTATTTTGGAAGAAAGCGTACTCCTTTTTCAGTAGAAGAGGACAAGGGGAAAGATGGCAAGGGTCCCACAGTGTCAGGAGAGAGGCTGCTTTCCGGCTCAGGCTGGCTCACCACCCTTCAGTGAACGTGAACAGTCCCGCCATGGCCAGTGCAGAGCTGGGACCTGTGTATGCCTAGAGACAGAACAACAAAATCTATCAATGGGAGCAAAATTATGCAAGGAAGAATGAGATTAACTGGAATTAGTAAAAAATCACAAGGCAACACAAACAGCGTTAAAAAACTTTTTATGTAAATGACCAAAGAATAAATTTCCAACTATGTGGAAGGAACTTAAAATACATAAGTGACACTCATGAAACCCCAACACATTTTGATGAAAAAAACTTCCAACAATATATAAGAGGCAAAATCCAAGATGTCGAGTCCAAAAACAAACTCATATGAGCTTCTGCACAAGAGAAAGTAATCACTTATACATGGAAAGCCATTAGGAAGGAAGAAAGTCAATATTTCCTAGAGGCAAAGTGTTGTGCCACTTCAACATGCCAGCACGTACAGGACACCATGAAACTAGTGCTAAGAGGGACAAAGAAGAACCTGGTCTCAATCCAATAAAAGTCATGCCTGACAAATCAACTGCCAGCATCCTCTTAAGTGGTCAATAGTTAATGTTTTCCCTTTCAAATCAGAAACGAGACACAATTTCTACCATCATCACCACTCCTGTTCTATGGAGTATTTCAAACATCATCCAGAGCAGTCGTGCAAGGAAGAGGAAGGAAAGCCCTATGAATAGCACAGGAAGAGGTCAAATCATCTTTTTCTGCAGAGGACATGCTGCTCTCCATAGAAGACACAAAAATTCCACCAAGAGACTGCTGCAAGAAATAACCAAGTTCGGCAATGTAACAGGACACGGAACACAAAGGCAAAAATCAAAGTGCTCCTCTACGCCAATAGTGCACCCACTGAAACGCAGATCAGGAAAACTATTCCGTTCACAATAGCATCAGGAAAGATGAAAGACTTAGGAATTCACCTACACAGAAAGAAAGTGTCCTTAGGAAAACAACACAATACACTCAAAACAGAAATTCAGCCGAAAATCAGAACATTGAAAGACTTCCCTGTTCCTGGACAGGCAGAAATAGAATCTTCAGAAAGGACACACGTTCAAAACGGATCTGCAGATCAAATGCAACCACAATCCAACTACCAACCACACTTTCCACAGAATAGACACAGCGATCC